TGCTGCGCATTGCATCAGCCCGCTGCTGCTGTCTGTCTTTCCACTTTTGCCATCTGTTCATCATACATGCACCGCTCATCGCGACTGTGCGCCAGTCTGTGGTGAATGGCGTGTAATCTTCACCACACTTTTCACACAATCATGGCTCCTCTGATCATTGAGTTAGCTCTCAACTCTGCTGCCCTCCTGCGATCTGATTCTTCTGCAGTTGTTTCTGAACCAAGTCGACTTGCTTGCTAACCATGTCGATTCATCACTGTAGACACGCCAATGCAGCGCCAACCTCTCCCAAGCCGATTAGTACGCCGTTGGGAAAGACGGAGGTCTCGGACGTCGCAAACAACGTCTCCAAGAACGCCGAAGCCTTTGGCGCAAACTCGATGTCAACGGCAGTGGAGACGACCGCAACAACCGACGCACCCGTCAGCGACAAGTCAGCTGAGGACGACGCCAATCCGGAACCGGCACCAACAGCAGACCTGCCCTCTAACGACGCTGAGAAGGAGGTTGCGGAAGACGACGAGGCCGTTGCTGCGCCAGCCGCAACCGCAGAGGAGTCGGCAGCCGACGTGCCAAAGGACGTGAGCCCAGCAGCACCAGCACCGTCGACAGAAGAGCCGACAGCTCCTAGTGCACCTGCTGTGGATCCTGCGAAAGAACCCTCGTTGGAGGCTGAGAAGCAGTCAGCCGCAGAGGCCGCATCAGAGAGCGCCGCGGAAGAAGCACCAGCTGCCGAACCCAGCAGCGCGCCGAAGACATCCGAGGAGGAACGGGCGGAAACAAAGCACGGGTCGCCGTCACCGGGAGCTGATGCGAAAGACTCGGATGTCGATATGATTGACGTTGCGTCCGCCCCCAGCGAGAACGCGACCCCTGCGGATGCGGTTTCGGCTGCGGCTCCGGCTGCGGCTGCTGCGGCGCCGACTCCCTCACCCGCTGCTGTGTCCAAGGCTCCCTCGCCAGAAAAGGCCAAGTCACCACCAGTCCACGCGCCCCTCACGCACTCCATCTCCTCCAGCCTCCTGCCGTCTCTTCGTGACGATCGTTCCCGCGAGAACAGCTCGGGCGCGGCGGCGCAGGACACGATCATGGCAGATGCTTCGGGGGGCAAGGTGCCCAGGGAGAGAGAAGACGATGAAGAGGTTGGTCCTTCGGCGAAGCGTGCCAAGACTGAAGACGCCGAGGCGCCTGCGGCACCGGCCAACCAGGCCGAGGCTCCCCCTGCCGGCGCTGAGATGCAGGTGGACGTCGCCCCCGTTGTCATGCCGCCTCGCACACGCGCCGTGGCAAAGGAGGGCAGTCTAGCAGACCCAAAGCTGGACGACGAGCCCATTTCGGCGTATGCCAGCAAGGAGATCCGTCGTGTCCTCGCCAGTGTCAAGAAAACAAAGGCAGGTAACAACTTCAAGGATCCTGTCCACAAGAAGTGGCCTATGCTCTGGGACGCGTATACAGCGCGGGTGGCGAAGCCAGTCGACATTGGACTGCTGGAGCGCAACCTTCGTGAGAATGCATACGCGACGCATGGCGAATTTACGTCGGACCTCTTTTTGATTTTTGAGAATTCGGTTTCGTTCAACGGTCTGGGCAACCCTGTGACCGACGAGGCCAAGTCGCTCGTGGACAACTACTTCACACGGCTCTCGGAGGTCTCTGCGCAGGAGCCGCAGAAGTCTGAGAAGAAGGAGCCGAAGCAGCTGCCCACCCGCCAGACCGAGCCTCGCGCTGCCGCGAACCGCCGCGAATCTCGAGGCGCCGCGAGCTCGCCCGCGGACGACTCTGTCATCAATGTTTCGGCCAGTCCGCTTGCCCTGTCCACGTCGTTTGGGACGAACGCCAAGGCGTCGTCTCCCGGCCTGGCCGGTGCTACGGCAGTGGAAGCATCGACACCGGTGTTTGCGGTCCCGTCGTCGGGCGTGCCCATTATCCGCCGCGACTCGGCCAAGAACGACGGCGACCGGCCGAAGCGGCCGATCCACCCACCCAAGAACCGTGACCTTGGCTACGAGCCGAAGAACCCCAAGAAGAAGTCGCCCGAGTTCCGGTTTTGCGAAGAGGTGCTCAAGGAGCTGGTCAAGGCGAAGCACTACGAGAACAACCACTGGTTTTTGAAGCCCGTCGATGCTGTGGCGCTGCAGATTCCGACGTACCATAAGGTGATCAAGAAGCCGATGGATCTGGGCACGATGCAGACGAAGCTCAACCTTGGCGAGTACGTGTCTGCCAAGGACTTTGAGAACGACTTTGGGCTCATTGTCAAAAACTGCCGCAAGTTCAATGTTGTCGGCGAGGTCGTGGACGCCGCGAACCGGCTCGAGGACCTCTTTAAACAGAAGTGGGCGGAGAAGGACAGCTGGATTGCGGCGCACACCACGCAGACGACAGCGCATAGCCCGTCTGTGAAGGACGAGGATTCCGACGAGGAGGCAGAGGACAGCGACGACGAGGGTGGCGACATCTCAGCTCCTCCGCTCTCGAGCGACACTGTCAACGCCCTTGTGAAGCGTCTGGATGAGGAGAACGCGCGCCTGAAGAAGCTGCTCGACGCCGCCGCTCCGGACATGACGATGATCACGACGCAGCAAGTTGTTACGAATATGATTCAGAAGCAAATTGTTGAGGAGAAGATCAAGCTCGCGGCGGTGGAGGCCGACCGCCGGACCAAGAAACCAGCCAAGGCGAAAGCGGCCAAGGGCAAGAAGGCGGCTGGCGGTGGTGGCGCAGCAGCAAAGAAGGCCGGAGCTGGCGGTGCGAAGAAGGCGGCCGGTGCTGCGGCCAAGAAGGCTCCCAAGCCGCGGCACTTTGGCCAGGCCGAGAAGAGTGTGGTGACAGACGGTATTAACAACTTGGATGGCAATCAGCTCGAGAAGGCGATTGACATCATTAAGAAGGATACCAGTCAAGAGGTATGTGTCTCTAACCCGTCGGGACTTGATCCCGCTTGTCCCCTTCATATCTACACCACTGTTGTTTGTTTACCATTGACTAACGTGTTTCCACTATAGGAGAGTGAATCTGGCGAACTGGAGCTGGATATTGACCAGCTTTCACAAGATGCCCTGGGCAAGTTGTACGAGCTCATCGTCAAGGCTTTCCCCCACATGCGTGTGAAGACGGAGAAGCCCAGAGCGACGGGCGACGGGGCGAGCAAGCCGAGCGGCAAGCCCAAGAAGCACAAGCCGATGGGCAAGCTGGAGCAGGAGCGCAACATTGAGAAGCTTCGTGAAATCAAGGCGCAATTCCAGCGTCCCGGCAGCGGTAGTCAAGAGCCACTGCCGTCGGTTGAAGTGAACCAACCGCTCGAGGAAGAGGAGAGTGAGGAGGAAGAGAGCGAGGTCGACTCGGAGGAGGAGTAGGCGCCTGCCTCTACCCCTCGTTTTTGATTCTCTGTATAAAATTCTCGCCTATGTGTATTAATCTTGGTCGGCATGTTTTGCGCGATATTGTTTCGCTTTTTTCGCCTTTTGTCGCTTTTGTATTGTGCGCTGCGCTGGTGGAGGGGCGTTTGCGCATAATGTACGTTTGGAATGATTTGGGGCGGACAGGTTTTTGTTTGGGACATAAAATGGGACACCAAAATAATTAGGCGTTTGTTTGCTGGCCATGCTAACGGAGGGTGCGGCCTCTTTATATTTACGTTTTTTTCTCTGCGTTGTTGCTTCCTGCTTTTCTGCTTTCCTGTTTACTGTTTCCTGCAGTCTCGTGCGGATTTGATTCCATGTCTGGTCTGCTTTGTTGCGCAAGATGCGGACGGCGGGAATATTAACAATGATGGCCAAGGGGGTAGAGACACAGGTTTCCAAGATAAAAGACGGGATGTCATGCTTTCAGAAGCAAGTGAAGGAATGAAAATTGATCGTGTTAGCACCTCCTCGTTCCTGTCGTAGCTCTACAGCATCCTCAAAGTGATATTACACGAATTTGTGCCAATTTTATATGGACATGGCCTAGGAGTAGCGTAACCTTGCTATTTCTTTCATTCTCACCCTCGTGGCCTGCCTTGACAATTCAATCGTATTTCACACAAACGCAAGCTCATAGCCGTTGACCTGGTCATGGATTGAGGTCAGTGGGACGATGTTGCTTAAACAAGATGCCCGTGTAAGGAGCCGAAGTAAAGAGTCTCCAGAACAGATAACCATACACATGCAAGACTCTGCATGTAGATGGCGAACGCCAACGCGTCGGGCGTACGACTTGATATGAATCGGCCATTGATTTTACGTTCACTGATACGACATCTATCAAGATCTCTTCTCTCGAGGGTTGGGACGGAATTCATACGTTTGGCACCAATGAAAGATTGCATCTTTCAAGACTGGTGTTTCTGCAGACCAGAATGGCATTTCCACTGGATCGGAAGAGACATTACAAAATGTTGTAGTTTTCCATGCTTGGACGATCTGTATGTTGTGAGATACCTACAAAGTATTGTCGTAATATGTTGTACGTCCATACCTTTCCCTCCCTCCCCTGCCATACTTGCCAAGGCGGCTTGGGGCGGGACCCACAAGCTGACGAGTCCCGTTGACAGATGGAAGTGCCGTTTTATCTCGCCCCCTGTTTTTGTTTTTTTCTTTCCTGTTTGTGCAATTTTTGCTTACAACTCTGTTTCATCGCGAGGTAACCGATGGCCAAGATAGCCGCCTATCCATCACGAAGAGACACGTCTGGACACTGGGCGTCAATTCATTGTCCCTTTCCAACGACAGAGCCTTGACTCCAATATCCGCTCCAATCCGCAAATCCGTCTGGCACAATTGGTAGACAGAGACCGGGTCGGGGTTGGTCCTTTTCATTTATTTAAAGCACAGCTAGTCTGCCGCCCATATGAACGTCATTTGCCCTCGAGCCCATGATCCCGGTTGCCGGCTGAGTGCTTTCGTGTTTGGGATTTCCTGGCACTTGGTCGTCTCATCTCGTCATTCTGGCTCGGCCCACACGAAGCCGCGTACTCATTTGTGCGTCGACAGTGTATATTTAGTATTGCACTTAGTTGGTCACTTAGTTCGATCGAAACCCTGGCGCGTCCCAGTAGCGTACGCATCTCGTAGGTGGGTGGGCCAGGCCTGGGCCTTGAGTCTGTGGGCACGCGACAGGTCGCCGCGTTGGGGAAGGATCGCTGTTTCCTTTCCCAGCGAATCTCGAGCCTTTTGCATCTGCGTCCTGATGGCCGAGTGCCGCCAATGCCCCTGGCTTGCGTATGCCGCCTCATTTCCACTTTCGAAACCGATGTCGCGTGCATTCGTATGCTTTTCTGGTGGGGTCGTTATTGCGAGTTTCTTTTTCTGTTTCTGTTCTGTTTCTGTTCACTGATTACATGTGCATTCCGTATCTAACGACCCCAGGTGGTTCTTCCAGATTCCGGGACGCTCCTTTCTTCCCTTTCGTTCCTGTCACTTTCGGTAGCTCCTTCTTTAATTTGACATAGTCGCCTTGAACATAGTCGCCTTGACAAGCCCTGTATCAGCACCGTTCGGTAAATAAATTCGCAGCTGCCTCTTGTGTGCAATTGGCCCCGGCCCAGCATTACGATACGACGTGCGACTACACTTATAACGAGACAACGTATCCTGTCTGGTCTTTTGCTTCGTCGCCGTTCCCACTGCCTCCCCACACAAAATCGGTTCCGGCACGCCACCGATGCCAAACTGCATCGCCCCTGCCTCGTTCCTTCCTGTAACAGTGGTTGTTCTCTGGTGGCCCCACTCACCCAAAAAAGATCGAGAAACGGAGAAGGAGCAGCGTGCTCTTGCTCGTTTCTTGGCTCTCGTCATTTTTGGCATCTTCCGTACATACAACTTGTCCTGCACTTGACCGAAGTTCTTGTCCACCTTTCGACATTTATCTGCGACTACAGCCAGATCTTTTCTGTTCTCACGTAATCGTGTCCATCACACCACGGACATCTCGCCTTGATCCGTCCCATCATATTACCCAAGTGCCATTGGCAAGCTCTGGAACACGACGAAACCTGGCGGCAATAAGAGCACACGATCAACATCCACATCCTCGCCAATGCTAAGCAGGCTGTGAGGTGAGCTTGTCTACTTGTGTCTCCAGCAGCCGCTTCGTGTTGCAGTACAACTTTCCTTCCTCCCGATACCGAAACACTCGCCGCTCTACCATCAATTGTGAGCGTCTACGTGCTGCCTGCAACGACGTCCTTTCACCCGGCCAATCCCTCGCGCAAGGAACAAACTCACCACTTTGAATTTCCGTCTCATACCTGAAGCAACGTTTATCTTTGTTACAAGGACTCTGACAATCTTTATTTTCTCGCTTTCCCTTACATCCATTTATATATCTTATCTCTTCACAACTCCACCTGCTCTGTGTAAACGACACGGCCAATCTCGTACATCATCCTCCCATGGCCGTCGGTATCTAACAAAAGCCCCCCCTTCTCTTCGTTCTTCCCTCTTCTTCCCTCTCTCTCTGATCATTTTTTCCTCCCAACATAATGGTCGCATCAGCCAGCAGCCCCGACTCCGTAGCTGCCATCCTCACATCAGCAACAAAACCGCACTCAAGCGCAACACGGTCCTACAGGGCTCTTGCCTTCCTCAACTTCTTCTTCCACCGCGTCACTCGCAGTGGGCCTAGACTCCTGCTGTACCTGGCAATTCTTCTCGCCTCGTTGCTCGCCCTGACCAAATGCCTGCCCTCGAGCGTCTCCAACCGAATCGTCAGCAGCACAAGCCACCTTTGGGAATTCCGGCCCAGCGGACTCGGTGGTAGTCGTGGTGCCTCCAAGGGCCAGTCGGTCCTCGTGCCGGGTGAGAACAATGCACACGATGCGCTGGCCGGCGGCGGTCTGAGGGTCGTCGTGTTTGGCGAGAACGACATTGCGACGTCCGTGTTGTCCGACGTAGCAGATGCCCAAGGCGTCATCAATGACACGTCTTGGACGAAGGAGCTGTGTATTGATGTGAGCCTTCCTGATTTGGACGACTGTGCCCCCGTGCCCATCATCTATAAACTAACACGCTGCAGCTCGGTTGCACGACGTACATTTCCTGCGTCCCCGTGCTCGATTCGCCGCACCGTTCGCTGAGCAGCAACTCTCTGTACGGCGCAGCCGTCGACGAGGCCTTGCGAGATTCTAAACAGCACGTGCCAGCGGACGACTTTACGTATGTGTCCGAACAGTATCCCATCCCGTGGGAGGCACCCGATCTGTACACGCAGGTCGCCCAGTTTCTCGAGCAGCCGGCACCGCAGCGACCGCCCAAGGAGACCGTCTGGGTATTCGCACCGGGCATGTGGGATGTCTGGTCGCTGGCGGCATTTCCGGCCCATACGGCCGAGGCGTACGTGACGAGCATGGTCTATGACCTGTTCTCGACCATTGAGATGCTCTATGACGCCGCTCATGACGCCACGTCGATTGCGTACTCAAAGTACAACGCTGTCCCCCTCGACGACGACATCATTTTGGCATCCGGCAACAACACGGCCAACATCAACAACCCCGACGGAGCTGCAGGCCAGAACTCGGACCTGAAGTGGGAGGACACCACGTCCGAACCGTTCCGTGTCGTGATCCCGCTTCTGTTTGACCCGTCCCTTATGCCCGCCTGGCACCTCGACCGCCCCAACGCGCCCGACCTGCACACAAAGCCCGAGCATCTACACAATGCTGTGCGCCTCACAAAGCTGTGGAACGACTTTGTCTTGGACGGGATGCACAAATGGTCCAAGAAGAACGCTACCTTTATCCACCCGGACGACCGTGTTGGCGCTGACGCCGAATCCACCGAACCCGCCGAATCCGCCGCTGCTGGTGCCAGTCCATCGTCTTTGACAGGCACTATCACTGGGACGACAAACGACTTGCCCAGCCATTCGGCCAAACGTCGTCAGGATATCGACCGCCCACCTGTCCCTACGCTCCTCCGAGATGGCATTCTTTTTCGCATGTCCGACTACCTGATGGACGTGATCATCGACGGCCAGATGCGGGCGCGCGGCATTGTCGACAAGAAGGGCTTTGGTAAGCTGCCCAAGTCGGATCGCTATTTGGAGGTCGACAAGCCCTGTGTAGCTCCTCAAGTCATTGGTCTCCCAACGGGGACCAGCAAGATCACAACCGAGCTCCGTTTTGAAGAGGACAAGAAACAAGAAGAGGACAAGCAGGGGGACGGCGCCACTGACAGCCCGACGCTTACGTTCGTGGCCCCGGGCCCACTGACCGGTACCAACACGCAGGTGGAGAACCCGACCCATACATATGTCGCACCGGGCCCGCCCACCGGCACTGCGCAGCCAAAGAAGGCCCGGAACAACGGCCCCAGCCTGAACTTCGTCAAGAGTCGATTCCGGAGCAAAATTGTGCACAAGGACGTCGTGTCCGCACCAGCCGTGCCGGCACTGACCAAGAAACTCGCGGTGTGCGAAGAGCCCGATGACCACCTCTTCTTCACGTCCTTTAGTCTCGGCCGGCGCGCCATTGAAGAAATCGGGCGACTGGCGGCGGCTGTTGTGCGCGCGAGCCCCGCTACGCGGTCGGCTTGGGAGATGAACCGCCGATCGAGCTTTGAGAAGGACCGAAAGCCTGCGTCGTGGAAGGAGTATTACCACTCATAGTCAGTGGCCTCGTTGTCCCTTATTGTTTCGGCTCCCATCTTCTCAACGGTACTGCTTTGTTAGCGATACCCACCTGGCACATTTGCTTGTTCCCTTTTCAAACAGAGCACATACGCGCGTCTTTTCAGTCTTTTCATATTTTCCTTTCATTTTGACCATTGTTTTGCATATTTCATTTTGTTACTTGTATACGACCCTGCATGTCATCTTGGAGAAGCTGGCGTTTGAGGGGAACTTTGGTTTTTTATGCACGATGCGACAGAACAATAATAGAAATGAACGAACTCCAGCATTTTTTTGTCTACCTAATTTCTAACTTTACGAGAGGCGAGATATCTAGATACAACATGTGAAAGAGACGCGACACAACGACAGTCGTAAGTCGTATTCTCGTCGCAGTATTTACGTCGCATGTAACGAATCAGATACGACTGCAGCTGCCGTTTTGGCTGTTCCTTGCCTTATCAAACTACACTGTCGCGTGACCTACGTCAGCGCTCGTAAACAGCGCCACCGACCCCCTGTTCAGTGGTACTTTAGCACCTTCACCGCCCGGCAGTATCCTTATCTCGTGCCACCCCCCTGGACCTCGCTCATACCACGACTCGTGTCCCGCCTCACTTTCACTGCATCGCATGTTCGTCTTGCTTTTACCGTCAACTCCAGCCTCGCTGCTGCGCACGCCGCCATGTCCCGGTCTCCGTCGTCCTCGGGCCTTCTGCTGCCGCTGCCGGGCTCGCCTGCGTCGTCGTGGGCGCTGTACCGTGCTCGCGTCAAGGCCCTCGTGACCGGCCGGACGTCCGTCTTTGTGTCCTTTTGGCTGTTTGGCCTCATCAACAACGTCCTCTACGTCATCATCCTGTCGGCCGCGCAGGACCTCGTCGGCACGCTCCCCAAAGGCGTCGTCCTCCTCGCCGACGTCCTGCCGTCCTTTGCCACCAAGCTCGTCGCGCCCTACTTCATCCACCGCGTGCCCTACGCCGCCCGCATCCCCGTCTTTGTCGCCCTCTCGTCCGCCGGCATGCTGCTCGTCGCCACCACACCCGCCACCGCCAGCGTGGCCGTCAAGCTCACGGGCGTTGTGCTGGCCAGTCTGAGCAGCGGCGGCGGCGAGCTGAGCTTCCTGGGGCTGACGCACTTTTACGGCCCGCTGAGCCTGGCGGCCTGGGGCAGCGGCACGGGCGCCGCCGGGCTCGTGGGCGCGGGCCTGTACGTGCTGCTGACCGAGTGGCTGGCCTTTTCGGTGCGCGCGAGCCTGCTGGCGTCGGCCGTGCTGCCGGTTGTGATGCTGGTGACGTTCTTTGGGCTGCTGCCGCGGGGGCCGATGCGCGCCACCACCGCCTGGGGCGCAGCCGGGCGGACCAAAGAACAGCAGCGATACACGGCTGTTCCTGGCGCACCGAGAGCCGCGGAGGAGGACGAGGATGACGAGGGGAGTGAGGACGGCGAGGACGGCGAGGAGAGCGTCGGTGGCGTCGGCGACGGCCGGTTTACGGCGTCCTCGGCCTCGGTTGTCACGGCATACGCAGCGGCGGCAGCTGTCGAGGACGAGGAAGCGTTGGCAGCACGCCACCACCGCGTGCGGCGGCGGCCGCGGCCGCCGCTGCCACCAGCTGCCGTCTCGTTCCAGGCCAACGTGCGCCGCGCCCGCGCCCTTTTTTTCCCCTATATGCTGCCGCTCCTGCTCGTCTACATTGCCGAGTACACCATCAACCAGGGCGTCGCGCCCACGCTGCTCTTCCCCCTCGCCTCGTCGCCGTTTACCGAGTTCCGCGCGTTCTACCCCTTTTACGGCTTCTTGTACCAGCTCGGCGTTTTCATCTCGCGCTCGTCCACGCCCTTTTACCGCATCCACCGCCTCTACCTGCCGTCGCTTCTCCAGGTCGTGAACCTGGCGGTGCTCACCACGCAGGCCCTGTACTTTGACTCGTTTTTGCCGTCCGTCTACCTCGTCTTTGCCATTGTCTTTTGGGAGGGCCTGCTGGGCGGCGCCGTGTACGTCAACACGTTTGCCGAGATCATGGAGACTGTGCCCGCGGCCGACCGCGAGTTTAGTCTCGGGGCCACCTCCGTCAGCGACAGCGGCGGCATCTGCGTGGCCGGCCTGCTGGGCATGGCCATGGAGGTCGGGCTCTGCAACTGGCAGGTGCAGCACGGCCGTGACTGGTGCCGCCAGATCCGGCCGAGTGGGCACGGACGGGCGTGAAGAGCCTATGCTGAATTTTCTGAGCGTCTTGTTTAATTTGCTTACGTGTTTGTCACTTTATGATGCATTGTATGGAGCAGGCCATGAGCCGGGGAGTTTTGCGTCTTAGTTGTGCGTTTGCGATCGATTGTATATTTTTTTCTTTTCCGTTTTCTTGTTTTAGAAATACAAGAGCAATTACATTGTTACGTACCTTTTTGACTGTTTGTCACTGTTTGTTACCTTGCCGTGCCTTTGGCACAGCCCGTCTACTGTCGCTGTCGCTGTCATTGTCACAGTTTACTCAATTCTCGTTCGCACCGACCACCGACTTGCGCGCCGTCAGGTCCCGACGGAGTCCAGAACGAGAACCAATCAAGAAGTTGCGGTCGGTAGTCTGGGCGGTCGGGATACTGCTGGTACGTTTGGAGCCGTTGCTACGGTGAGAGCCCTGGACAGGGACAACACTCGGCCGCGTGGATGTGGGTGTGACAACCTGGGCAACGTGGGCAACCCGGCCAACCTTGGTACCTTGCGCGAAGCGGACTTTCCTGCCGGCGACATCATAGTCTTCGGCAAGCGCCTCAACGACTATTCGGTTTTCCGGCTGCGTGGGCTCCACCGGCGGATTGGCCACATCCGGCCAGAACGGCCAGCGAAGAGGTGTGACGGCCTGGGTGGTGGAGGTGGAGGTGGAGGCAGGCTGAGGCTTCGCCGACGCGCCGGGCGTCTCGGACGACAAGGACGAGGCGAACAAGAACCTGACCTGTCGACGAGGCACGCCACGCTCGAGGTCGACGCAATTGTTGTTGCGCTGGACAGAATACGAGCGGGTGACCGTGGGAGGCTGCATTTCATGGGAGAGGGACTGGCTCCGGCCGCCGTCACCGTCATCGTCGTTGCCATTGCCACGGCCACGACCTGTGTTGGGCCGCCCCAGCATGCAGCTGCAACACCTCTGTGCCTTGTCCAGGTTGCCCCAAATGGCAAACCAGATGCCGAAGGCGGCCGCGAGAAGCAAAAGGGCAATGATGGCCGCACTGGCTGCGGTGACGTGCATATGCGGCGACGGCGCGCTGTCGTCTGCGACGCCCTGGTTCAGCTGGGCCACCATGGACGCCACTGACGAGGGCGCGACAGAGACGGACGTTGCCGTCATCGCCGGCATCACTGATGCAGAGGTCGTCATGGTTGGCTCAACCAAAAGCTACGTCAACCGTGAGAGCGGATGGTATCGTGGACGGTGTTTGGGGCCAGTGGCATACGTCTGGAGGAATATCTTTGTCTACAAAGATTTGTGAATAGGATAAAAAGTGACAAAGCTTCTACCAGAGAAAGCTTTGTCGTTTTTTCCTTTTGTTTTTGTGACTTTCTTTCTTCACTTGAAGTGCAGCCTGGTTCCAGATGATCTCCAAGATGATAATAGTTGAAGATGACAAAGTACACCGAACGTCAGCAACAGGAAAAAGAGACACGTTTATTTATACATGGTATGCGACTCAGGTCGTGTTCACATATCAATATTGTCAGACAGTACACTGAACTACGGTATGTCATTGTTCATGTTTGTCGTTTATGCTCACTTGGCCGTTGTTCAGTTGGTTGTTCTAGGTGAGATATTCCATTACCGGAGAAAACATGTCGGTGCCATCTTAAATGTGTTGAACAGATGGATATGAAAGCGAAGACAGCATTCTTCAATACTGTCATCGACTACGGCGCAATCTAAACTATCCGAAGTCAAATGTCGAATGTCGACCATGTTTAGCAGGACTAGGATGATACAATCTGCCAACGGTAAAAAAAATTGGATTGTGTATGGAATATACGTAGCGCACAAAAAACAGTGTCCCGAGTAGGAAGGATATCTCTGCAAATAAAACCAATGACTGCTAAAAAGCAAGGCGAAACGAGCCGGGGGAAATGTGCAGGTCGTATCGTGTTGTACGTCTGCCCATGTGTGACTGACAAAAAAGTGTACTTGATTTTTGTCTTTGTCCTCCCAAGATTGTGAAAGGTAAAACGCCCAAAGCAGCAAAATGAAATAAAAAGGCCATCCTGCAGCTTTCGCTACCCGGCCCAAGACAAAGGAAATGGCAAGAGTGAAAAAAAGGCATTGGTCCCAAAAATGAATTTTCCCAGATGGCCGATGGCCCCGGCCCACGATGTAGTATGAAAGGAAATGAGTAAAATGAAAAGATGAAGTAGAAAAGAAGAATAGGAGAAGAAAAAAAGAACGAAAAAAGAAAGAGGAAAAGCGAGCCGAAACGGTCGCTTCCTTTCCCGGAATAGAAGAGAACAAAAGATAGCCGCTGGGGAGATCAATATAAAGAAATGAAGAGAGGAAGAGAGGAAGAAGAGGCAGAAGGGGAAGAAGAGGAAAAAGAGAAAAATAATGGCAGTCGGCTGGGTCGTTGTCGGATGCCGTCATGATGGTTTGGCTTTCTGTGTTAAGCCAGGATATCTATGGATGAGAAAGTAACGTCGTAGGGCGATGTGCTTGGTCGAGATGTGAGAGGGCGGCGCGACGCGGTTGTGAGCGACGCGGTGCTGTGCGTCGCATTCGTGTCGTGGTATATCGTGTTCCGAATGTTCGGTGAGGGTGGCCGTTTGTCATGCTGTGCATGTTGTCATGCTTGGATGTTGCGCCTGTTCTGTGAACATCGTGGCCGACGTGGCCGATCACTTCTGGCTGTCGTCGCCACGGAGGGAAGAGAGGCAGAGGGCGGGCGGGCGGTTGTCACCCACCCTCCCGCTGCTTCGTTGGTTACTCCCCCCAGGGTTTCATTGTCAATCGGAGACGGGCGTGGCCTCGACGAGGCAGTCTGGGCACCGCACGTGGACGCAGTTGGCGCACTGCATCTGTGTCACGGCCTCCATGCCATCCAGGCCGCAGATGTGCTGGTTTGTTAGACGGGTTCTGAAACAGTAAAAACAAACGCAAAGACAAACGCTATGGGCTCCGTAAAAGACTTACGCATTGCCACAAGTAGACGCTCATGACTTTTGTCTTTTGGCCCTTGCTGGTCGCCGTGTGGTGGTGGCCGTGGGCGTGGGCATGGGCGTGGTCGTGGGAAGGCTGGAAGACAAAAGGAGGGTATCATGTTAGTCACAGGGTGGTTCACGCGGGCCAATTTTTTGTTATTGTTGTTGTCGTGCTCGTCTGGTCACGACGCACGACGCCGTGCACTCGTCCAACCAAAGGAAATGACGAATCGCGACATGTGCCTTGGTTTCAACGTACCATTGTGAAAGGGTGTGGATTCGCTGTTGCGAAAGAGAAGATGGCGAGAAATGGCGAGCGATGGCGAGAGAAGGGAGAGCAAGAAACCACAGCCAGTGCAGTTTTGTCGCCCGACGAAATAATGAAGGAAGAGAAAATGCGACAATGCGACAATGCGAAAATGTGAAAATGTGAAAATGAGAATTGCGAAAATAAAATGAGGCGAAAGGGCCAAAAGGCGAAGCGAAAAGAGTCGGGACGCAAAATAAAATGGGAATGGATATGGCGGTGGGAATACGAGGTTGCGCCTCCGTTTTTCTTAATTATGTAGGCGTTGTTGTCATCAAACTGGTCTGGGCGCGCCGAGCGAGTGAGACGCCTTTCGCGGAGTCGTGAGTGAAGCGCCGTTTTCTGTTCGTTTTATTCTGTTTCCCTTTGGTCTGGATTCGCAGGGCTGTGGAATGCGACGCGAGTGGACGACTACTTGGGAGAATGGGGGGCGATGGCTGTCGATCGGCCTATGCAAGGTGGTCAAGCAAAATGGGAGAAAAGCGCCGGCGTTGCGGTGATCACGGTCGATTTCTCCCTTTGGTGTAAGTGGAAGTGGAAGTATTTCGTATGTTGGAGGTGGAATGACGAGGTTGAACGGAGCAAATCGAGATGGAAGAAGACGGAAGAAGGGAAGAAGGGAAGAAGTAAAAGGAAAAAGGAAAAGGAAAAGACGAAAAGAAGAAAAGAGGTAAGGAGGAAAAGAAGACAAGAAGAATGGAAGATAAAGAAGACAAGAGGAAAAGAAGACAAGAAAAGAGAAAGACAGATAACCAAAACAGTTTGCCTGGGCAGCAACAGGGCGGTGGAGTGTGAAGAGTACAAAAACAAGTCACAAACGAAGAAAGGGAGAAGGGGATACCAGTAAGCTCGTACAGCCTACGGAATAGCCGGTTCTCTTGTGGCTTGCCAAAGCGGCCACGCGGCGTGCCTTTTAATGCCTTTCAATGGTCGGGGTCTTGGAGGTCTTGGGGGTCTCTGATGGTCTTTGGTCTCGGATGGTCTTTGCTTTTTGGTCTTGGGTCTGGATGGTCTTGGGTCTGGGCAAAAAGGGCGGCACAAGGGGGTGTGGCTCGTTCCTGATCGCCCTTATATTTCTAGATCTGCTTCGTGCGGCCCACTTCTGGACCTTGGGCGATTGCGTCGATCCCTGCTCTTTTCCGATTTTTTTTTTATTTTTTTTTATTTTTTAGTTCCTTTTCCGCTGCGACGGTTGCCTGAACTTTGCCTAGGGTCAAGGTATTTCGCTCGGTTTCGTTCTAGACTTGGGCGTGGCTTCTCCGTCGGCGTTGTTGCTCCTCTCTAGTCACGACGGTCGGCAGATGTGTATAGTAGCGACCGATCAGGGCGATGGTCCAGTTGAGGCCGAGTAGCTTGGTAGCTGAAGCCAGAAAAAGAATCCGTCTTCGCGGTACCGGAAAGCTTGCGTTTCGTGTGGGGCGTGAAACGAGAGAGAAGCTTTAAAAGCAAAAGCTGTAAAAGGCTCTATGGATTGCATAAAGGGTTGTCTGGCGAAACGCCAAAAGAAGAGACAAACGCAAATGATGATGAGAAGGTGAGACGACTACGGGGCGGGAGAAGAGACTTTTGTAGTTGCTGGCCTTGGAAAAGTGAAATAAAAATAAGTAAAAAGACAAATATATATATCAAATAAAAGCGGTGATTTCGGGCGAGTTTTTGCAACGTCCGTACCGGATGTGTAAAGGGAACGCGGCCGCGAGGTGTCGCAATGTTGCTGGACGGGACGCTGGAGAAAATTCTCAATATGCCAGCGTCATAGACAAAAGGGATGTGACAATGTCAAAACGTCGAAAATTCGAGAAGCACAAGGCACCGGAAAGTGAAAGTGGAACGGGGCGGAACACACGCCTCAGGGTGCGTGAGCTGCAAATCCATGCACAGGGGTGCCAGTCCAATGTTTAAACGGTGGGTATTGGGCAGAGGTGGAGTACGCTGCAGTGATGAGGGTGGAGGAGGTGGCTGCGAGCGTTGAAGACGAAGAGGAGAAGAAAGAATGGAATGAACCAAAAGAAAGACAAGCGAATTGGACCCTTTAAGTGGCGGATGTGCAAGGAAATCCGCCGTGGTGTCTTCACTTTTCAAGAGCAGATTGCCGTTCCTGGCCTTCTGCATGTCTTGTAGGACAAGGTCCATGCCATCTTGCCTGGGCGGATAACACCACTTCAAAGAATACACACATATGTACTCCGTTCAGAGCAGGCACAAGCTAGGGGCCATGGATGGTGAGGCAATCGGAAGGGTGGAAGTGCAGGACCAGGGGTTGGATGGATGGGCATGGCATGGGGCCGGAGTAGAATTCGAGGTGTATTTCCGAGGCACAGGAAGGATCATGAGAAATAAAACAAGATTTGAATTTAGAAAAATACAATATTATAAAATAAATAGGTGAGCCATTTTGGTCATGGTTATGAGCATGTTTCTTGACTGGGCGAGACGAGGGATGGATATGAAACTTCTGCAGACGGCTGCCCGTCGACGGGACGGTGATGTGATTCTGCCGTCTATTGACTTTGTGTATTGACTCTACTGTGTATTGACTGTCTCTTTGCCTAATGCCCGTGCTTAACAAACACAGCTGTATGGCCGGTTCTAGAATTGCCGATCGCCACACGACCCAACACCACCAGCGTTCCAAGCACCCCAGCAAATTCAGGCTTCAGCGGTTCCAGCGACACAGGCATGGGCAGTGATGTACAGTGGTTGCTCGGGCTCGTCCAGAAAGTGGGTATGCACAACGTGGAATTGGGAAGGGAGGGGACAAGGATGTGCGTGAATGGCTGAATTTGAGAAAGAAAGCGAGGGAGAAAAAAAAAAAACGGCAACACAAGCATCGACATGGGTGTGTCTGATATTGAAGGGGAGTCTGGGCCTGGATGCCGACAGGGACAGGATGACGAGCAGATGGCAGGCCTGTCCCTGTCCGTGGAGTCGATTTTTTTTTTCAGTGCCGCAAACGAGTTCGCATCCGCAGAAAGTAAGAAAAAAAGACGACATCAACACCAGGCCATTCCGCGTAATGCGCAGACAGGGGGGAGGGGACACTGAGGATTCGTCTTCATGCCCAATGATCAAAACAGAGACAATCGTGAGGGCATTTTGTGTCAACGACGGACGAGAAGAACAAGACGGCCGAGATGCAGACTGCAGAAGAGAAGAGAATGGAAACGAACAAGACGTCTCCAAATCAAATGTACCCCTGTACCAAGCTTCAAGCTTTGCACTGGACTGTCGCGGCCCTGTTTTTGCCCTTGTTTTTGCCCTTGGTTTTGGCCTTGGCTGTGGTGGCCGTTTTCCCCTTTCGGCCTTCTCCGACACCGTCGACGACTCAATTACGACATGCATACGGCGCACTGATGGCCTACATGCATCGTAATTACAGCGTACGACTGCGTACTTGTAAACGTCAAGACGAAGACACCGTCACACCTGCATCCGTGCCACGATGTTCTCCAGCTGGCCCACCCACACCTCCCGTCCCGTTGCCTTGGCCTGCCGTCCGGGCCCATGCTTTCATTTGGGTGCCGACCATAGACTGATTGGGGACAGAGTAAGAAACCAAACAGTCAATAGAGCGAAGCACGCGGGATGCTCTGCGGCGTGCGGTTCGATGACGATTACAACGGCCAGGGAAGTAGCCGCGGCAAGTGTTTTGGCGTCTATGTGTTGTACGCTCAGATATGTCCGCGAATGTATTATTGTATTGCCAACATCGTGTCACCATCACTACATTGTGAGTAGATGCGCCGGCCGATTCGGTTTCGGCTTCGGTTCCGTGGTCTTTTCCTGTGTTTGCACCTCGTGTCTTTGTCTCTTACCTCTTACTATCATCGCCAGCCTCCCCTCTCCGTCGACATTGGGTGGGCGTCTCGTTTGTGTAAGAATTCAGCCATCGAGTCTCCCGCTCGTCTCTCTTGACATCCCTTTCCACTTTATGCCCGTCTTATCTCCCTACGAGATACCACCACTCCATCCTGCCAACCCGCGGCAACCGCAGCCCCCAATCCTACATCAGCAGCCGCATTTGCTTCTTTTGCTTTCGACGACGTGCGACATACACGCAGCGTTGACGAGCGCAACGCAACCCTCTGTGCACCCCGCTGCATCCACGCTGCCGTTGGAACGCGAGGTCATACGCCCTGCAGGATGATGCTGTGTGATGTCACACACTTTTTGCTCTCTTTCTCTGTCCTCTGCCTCTGCCTCTGTCTCTCTCTGTCCTCCGTCCTCTCTGGTCCTCGAACGCATCTTCATATCGCTCATCGCCATTGGTTCTCCGCCGCTGTACGGATTGACTCTTTGCAAGTCTCGGCGCATGCTTTCTTCCGTCGACAAGTGTCCTGGCGTCCTTTTGTCTGACCGTCAGTTGTTCTCCATCGCCGACTTTCCGACCAAATCCCAACAGAGTGGCAAACCCACAAAAACCACGCGAGCCAGGCCATGGAGCATGCCCTTGGACGCCCTGTCGAGACTGTCAAATGCTCCGTATCGCCTCCCCCTTTCTATTTTGCCTCTGTTTCGTCTGCTATTCGTCCCAGGGCCTGGGTCCATCGCCGTTTCATCCTGTCCTCTAGCGGACTCCAAGGCGCTAACGCATCACCGCCTTGCTGAAGAGTAATTATGTCGTACTCTGTAATAACTGCACTCTCAGCATCACTCAGCCCTCGACCGCCACTGGCAAACGGCGGGGATCCACCGAAACCGCCACGCCACCAAGATGCGCGCCCATCCGACTTGCAAGAAAAAAACAAAACGAGTCACTCCACTTGCACGACCGAAAACTCCACTCTTCAGCGACGATGGAAACAAGGACCAGGACAGCTGTACCTGGTTGCGGTTTTATACAGAGAGAGAAAAAAAAAGGGACGGGGAATGGGCAACAAATGATCGTGCGACGACAATAATGGTTTCTAGAAGCCGACAGGCCCGTGTTATTTTTTTTTTTTTTTTTTTTTTTTTCTCACTCTCTTTTAAGGCTCCGCACAGGCCTGTTCTCACACGACAATTCTCCGAAATGAGTCGTGTTGCACGATTTCGACGTTAGTGTTTCAAGACAAAAAAGGACGTTTCTACTGTGCTTTTGTACGCGTTCTCTCGGCGAAGATGCCCAACACTTCCCCGGCAAAACATAACCAACGGGCTGTTCTGAACAAAGCTAGACAGGATCGTTCGATCTGGGCAAAATCATCAAATCCTAACAAGGTCCCTTTGGATCTCCAACTTCCCAGCGCGGAACCCAGTGGAACCCGGTAAACGACCCAGCGATCCCCGTAGCGAGACGAAGACGGACGACAAAACAAAAATCGGACATGGGATTGCCTCTTTGAAACAATCTAACGGCGATCGGCAAGGAGCGTTTCCTGCCTGCCGGACCGCGGCTGCTGGGCAAAGAACGGACCGCGTATGACAACCATGCGAAAGTACGAATTACGAATTACTCTGTAATCCCGTGAGAAAATAGTATGTGCTCAGACCTGCGTACGTGGACAACAGGACTTGTGCACGCGCAACGCACGCGCAGCCCAAGGAGCCAAGAAAAGAAGGGATGCGCCATGGCGCAGCCACTGTGCGCTCCATGGCTTGATTCCTTCTGACAAAAATAAACAAGGCCAGCAAGCAGCGAAAGCCTTCGTGCTGCAACGGCAGACATGTTTATCGACAGTGCTGAGGAGGAGCAGAGCTGCTTCCCGTATACCAATGCAGATGTGAGGCACAAACACGCTTTGCGGCGAAGACGTCGTACGTGCACATACTGCATACTGCATCCTACATATTCCATACAGGCTACACATGCACGCAGGTAAAAGCAGAAATGCAGTAGAAGGCGAGGAAGGCCCAGCAGCACGCGGCTGTCTCGGAACGATATTGACAAAGGAAGTAAACGTCCCTCATGGTAAGACATACAACATACTTAGTTAGTCCTTGGAGTCCACGGAATTGTACGCAACACTCCGCTAGAGGACGGTGGTATAAACAATGTCAAATAGACAATGTGTATGTGGAATGGCCCTACACTTCTTATCTTTGTCGTTTGCTCCTTTCCTCCGATCGGAATGGACAACTGTAGGCCGCAGATGGCAAGCGCAGAACATGTCCACTGCGGCTGTGCACGACGCCCGACCACAGAGTGAACAAAGAATCCCCACAGCTCAAAGGACGAAGCCGCACTGCGCGAATATGAGCAAAAGAGGAAAACAAAAATAGTATATGTATATACGGTAATAAAAAATATAAAAGCGTCCAGCTACAGTCCGGGAGGTTTGCGTGGCCAGGCCTGGCCTGTTGCGATGCAGGTCATCGAGACTCGGCAAAACCTGCGCATCCACAACTGGACGACGATGCGCTCGTACGTTGTACTTGTACCACTGCGCCCGTGCGCCATCGACACCCCCTTGTCCGTCCGAAAAGCATGCCGACGTAGGGTTGCAACACGCCTGTTGCATTGAAAGGACTCTGTACGACGAAGCGTCGCGCAGTTTGTCCTTTTTGGGGGCTTGAGGAACGTACGTGGTCCTCCACTGACAACGCTGGGTTTGCGTGGCTGTGCAAAACAGAACCTGGGACTGGACAACAGTCGGCCATGTTGTCCGAGACGATTTTGGAAAACGGGTCCGACGCGGTGTTGTGTGGCTGCTGAGGCTGTCTGTCTGACAGCTGTCAGTGACTGGATCGTGATCAACGCCACAGCAGCTGAACGGCTTCCTTGATTTCGGAGGTTCCATTTCGGCATGATGCGTCGTTGAAATCACCACTGCAACTCTACGTGTCGGATTGTTTGCCACGATAGCGTTTTGTCTTTTTTTTTCTTTTGCACGTTGCCGTTTGTCCCTCCGTACCGGCTCCAAGGCAAGCTGGTTCCTAAAATCGTTTGATCCCAAGATATTGCAAACAAATGTCCGTCGACAGCACTCTGCTAGACTAAACGTAACCTATCAAAAAACGGTCTCGTCGTGACTCGAGTTACATCGACGTCTGCACCTGCACAGCCGCCACCACAAAATCAAGAAAATGGATTTATTAGAATCTTTTTCTTTTCCTTTTTTGTATTCATTCTTTCTCTTATAGATCTCTAAGTTGACAAAGTAGCGGGTGCGACACAGTTCAGACGATTCCATTTGGGTGATTTTATTTCATGAGCAAAAAAAAAAAGTTGATTGCTATAACGTCATCTTACTCCCAGGCGAGAAGTTAAATACATGAAAGCATAAGAAACTCTACTGTAAAATTGAAATGCGGAGTGTAAGGTAATAACATACTTGTAATAAACAGACAGAAATAAAAGAAAACTGGAGCAACAATCAAACAAGACAGCATAGCAAAATAGGATGGGAAATTATGAAATAAATTTAACTTGAATAAAAAAAAACGTATTTGCAAGTGTTAAGCAACACTTGGACAGCATTTATCGTGAAAGGTCGTTAAATGAAAAGACAATATGGCGGGGAAATATGAGAAAGAGAGAGCTTCAACAAAATTGCGCTAATAGCACGAGGATGACAACAATTCTGTCAGGACTGAAATGGGACATGATGCTTGACAAGAAAGCTAATGGAAACGTACGTTAAAAAACTGTGCATATGAAAACGTGGTGAGGAAAACAGGACAAGAGTTGGCAAATAAATAAGATCGCAGCAAGTCACTTGACTCAGTCTGTCGATAAGGGATATGTCGGAGTAGCACTATCCGCCTCCGTGCCCATGTTGTGACGGTCTTCGTCGCCCGATCCGGGTTCGTCTTCTCTGTCTTCTGCTTGCGACTCGGCGAAACCCGCCGTTGCGTCAAGATCGACTTCTTCATTGCGGGGGAACTGGTCGGCGTACTCGTAATGCTCGTCAATGAGGCCGTTTTGGTAAGGCTGACAAAGGAGAAAACAAACGCCGTTAGCAAGTTACTCATCGAGGTTTGTTGGTCTCATTAACTTACATTTGGCATCATTGTGCCACCAGCGAGAGAAAACTCGGCCATAGCCGAAAAGCCGTTCATGGCACTCCTGCTCATCATCGATTGCCGGCTGGATGAGCCAAAGGTGTTGGAAAAGCTCTGGGCAACATCGTCCGTAATATACGGAACGTAGCCATAGGCGCCGTCGCCATCGTCATGCAGCCCGGTGAATATTGCCCTGCCGGACCTGCCAGACGATGAAGTACCTTTTAGGCGAGCCACAAGCTCTCTTGCAGACACCCGTTGACTCGGGTCTTGGATTGCCATGTCACGGATATGTTCAAACAGCTCATGCTGGGCAATCGCCGTGATTTTCTCACGCAGCTCGAAGCCGTTGTCTGCCGAATATGTCCGGAACCCGTCAAAGTTGTAGATCCATACAACCGTCACAAAGAGTGACCATATGTCTGCTGTACACGATTGCAATTGACGATCGTAAACCTCCGGGGCCATGAACACCGGTGTACCAGCAAATGTCCGCGCCTGGGCGGACTCGTTGGACAGATTGAAATCAGCAAGTTGGAAGTGATAGTATGGTGCGACGCCATCGTCTTGCATGCGAGTCTCGTATAAGATATTCGCGTGCTTGATATCGCGGTGGACCATATTATATTTGGCCATGTACTTGAGCGCCTTTGCCATCTGATAGAGAACCTGCTCTGCAATTTGGGCGTCGGACAGCGCACGGTCTGCTTCTTCAATAAGAGTATAGACGGACCCTTCTCGAAGAGGCATGAAAATCTCAATCCACCGATAGTGTTTATTGTCGTACACGACGTCGAGAATGGGAAGGATATGGTCCTGGTGAGCCGGGTTACATTAGCTTTGTACGCCTGAGTGAAGAACGCAAAATATGATGACTTAGGTTTTGTGACGGGAGGACACCGTAGAAAACCGGCAACTTACGTGTCTCTTTGCATTGTTGGAGGACAGCTTGAGCATGTTGTTGATTTCGCGAATTGCCATGATATGTCCCTTCCCTTCGAGATTGTAGAATCGTTTCACAGCCATGGCGTGTCCACTGTGGATGTTTACCGCCTTGCGGACGAGTCCGAAGCCACCCATCCCCAGAACCTGGCCCTGGATGTAGCGTGCTTTGGTTGTATCGAACGACTCGGGGCCGAACTGGTTCGGGTGTTGTGTTAAAAAATTCCTCACGGGCTCGTCACCGTCCCAAACCAATTTGAACTTGTAGTGTTTTCGATTCCCGATGGCAATGTTGCGGTTGAACCGTCTCGTAACGACGACTGAGTTCATGGCCTGCGACATGGGAACACTGAAGTCCGCATCCTGATCGTAGGCAAGTGTAGTTCGGGTTGGGGACTCGTCGTTGAGGATGACGGCACCGGTCGACGAGTTGCACCAGAAGTAGCAGTGGCGTCGTTGGATGCCTGCGCCGTGGTGGTCTGGAAGTGTGATTGTGCAATTTGATCGACCGAGGGTAATCTTGTCGTTGACCAAGCCCGTAAAATTCAGGTGCAGCGCAGGTTCACCATCGATCGCGTCCACGTACGCAGCGTTGTGTGGATGGTTGATGACCATATGTGCGTTATGGTTGTCTGGCACGAGAAAGAACGATGGCCCGGTACCCACAGGCGGAAGAAAATCCATATCGATCAAGAGCTGTGGGATGTGACAGGATCTTGTCGACCAACCGAAACAAGACGGTAAGACCAACGAGGTGTCAAGAGGTGCTGCTCTGTTGTCTTAGGCAACGTCGTGCATTGCAGTTTGTTAGTAGGATGTCCACTCGGACGAGGGACTCTCTTGGACGAAATCCAAGGTTGATGAAGCCACCAGACTGTAATCCGAATGTCTTTGGCTAGACACTCTCGACCAAATAAGCACCGGAGTGTAAAGGTAACTCTCTTGGAACGAGAGGCGTAACCAAAAACGCTGCGAGGTTGGTGCACGCCGACTACCCTTGTCCTGAACCAGCAGGTCTGGATTCGGGATAGTTTCACAGGCAGTTGCAACAGGGCGAGCTGTGTGCAAAGAATGGAAAAAAACAACCCGCAAGATAAGGTGAGCTGGATGCTGCCACTCCAAATCGCAAAGGATGCTAAAAGGAGACGGAACAGATGACTGGGCGGGAAAGCAACCAGCCGTTTGAGGATATGAGACAACGTTCTTGGCCCGTAAATGCACACGCGATATCATGAAATTATCAATAGCAATGGAAAGGCAACACATAAGCACATCTGAAAGAAGTGCGATTAGAGGAGGAAGGGAAAGAAAGTGTAATGACGGCGGCCGTAAGAGGGATTTTAGGTTTCACAACTGAGAGAGTAGGCCAAAGGGGGGGAGTAGCGGATGGAAAGAGGGGGCAGTGAATAAAGGCACGGAATGGATTGGACAGCAGGATGCAACGAAACGTGCGGCTCATTGCTTCTTGCTCGGTGGTGGTGGTGGTGGTGGTGTTGGCATCGGCTGTTATTGGTGGCATCAACCAGAATGACGAGCAGCAGATGCTCATAGGCACAACCTGGGACATGTGACTTGAGCGTCTTCATTCCACCCTTCCACTGGGTATATTGTCACCTAATAATCATCGCCAAGATGGCATGGAAGTATGTGCCGCAGAGGAGGAACTTGTTCGGATTCAGTGTGAATTTCCAGCGATACGTCTCCCGTCTGGCAAAACGACAGCACGGCAGCGCGACCCTTGTACGACTGTCGGCGTAATTACATGACAGGCGCCTTTTCGGACCGCCAAAAGGGATGCTTTGGTCTTTTATGGCTGGTTGTCGTGGCCTCACTCCCAGTCTTCGCTGCCTTGCTTTCGTCTGCAGATCAGCAGCCTGCAGAAAGCAAATGCGCGCCGACGTGTCAACTGTGGGTGGGGTGTGATCCGAGAGAAGGCTGAGATTTCTGCTCTCGTTAGTGGCCAAACCTCATTCTCCTTTGGGTTTCGTCGAGATGCAAGCAGCAGAAACCCGTGGAATGATCAACCATTCTGTCAAAGCATGGAAAGGTTAAACGTACCGCAAAGCGAGGGCGTGGGAGGCTAAGACTGTGACCTCGTCTGGCAAAATGCGACTCAACGGGTCGATAGCAGAATGCCCTGGGCAGCATGCAATTCACACGTCGTGCATAACTGAAAGGCGACATTGTTTTGAGGGAAACACAGATATTTACAGATAGAGAGGGGGCTCTTTGGCGAACGCGTTTAACCGTTGGCGATAAGTAGCGGAAGGTCATTGGAGTTTGTGGTGAAAAGTACGGCCTTCTGTACGGTGCATGCGATGAGAATGGGTCGCTCCTTCGTGTCCTGCATCGTCAGTTGACCACCAAAGGCAACTGCGACTGGCTGGGTTCTGTTCGTGAGAGTTCCCGCGGCAAGAGCGGGTACGCAACCTCAAGTGCCGGCTCGCACTTTCCTTCTTCAGGGACTGCAGTGATGTTTGCATCATATTTTGTGGCCAGTTGCTGCCCATATTTGGGAGAATGTTTTACTCTTTCTCTAGGCTACCATGATCTTTGAGCCGCAAACATGTCAAGCAGCCAATGATCGACGGCCGCCATTTATGGCCACGGATATGTGTTGTATAGGATAGAGATTCGTTACGACGCACTTCTGTGGGTTGCACCTTCCTTGTGTTCCATGGTAGGCTGGACTGGGCAAGTGCCTTCATAATTTCCCAAAACATCGTCGACCTATCTGGAAAGAGCGTACCGGAGGTCGCTGGCAACATGTGACGCGACATCGTGCCGTGAACTGGCCAGGCCCACAAAAGGAGCACTTCGCAGAGTAGCATCCCACTATAGAGTTAGCCGTTGGCTGCACCAAAACCTGACGAATACAGGACGATGACCCGCAGGAAACCAGGAAGCCATTCAACATTATGTAAGCCATCAGGCCTTTTTTCTTCTCCATCCAACTGCCAATCACCGACGCCGAGGTTCAGCATTCAAACGTCCGACAATGGTCCGACTTGTGGCACTGCTTTACGATAATTACAACAACGACAAGCACGTCGATAACGACGGCAACGCATAGGGTTCTATGAATAAACCACTTGCTCGTCGCAACGCCATTTCCAATTACGCTCCCGCCAGTCTTTGTCTTTAGCACCCACAGCAACGACATTGCCATGCTGCCCGTCTCGCGCTTTGCGGCCATGTGCCGCAGTGCCGCACGTTTCCGTATCCCCATTGTTTCGGCTCACCGCGCGCCGGCAACAATAGCCCTCCGCGCCTTCTCGTCTGCATGGGACGACCAGCCGGCGCCGCCGCGTCTGCCGCCCGAGCAGCAGGCCGAGTTTGAGAAGCTGGTGCGCCAGGCGCAGGAGTCGGCGGCGGCTGCGTCGTTGGCGGACGCGGTCGCTGCGGCCAACGCTAAGGCAGAGGAAGAGGCGGCAGCAGCAAGAGAAGCAGGCGAGACACAGGCGGAGGCCTCAGCGGCGTCGGCGAAACCTGCCACCGAAACACCCGCATCGGCGCTCAACGGCAACCCGATCGAGGGCGTCTGGCGCGGTGCGGCGCCCGAGTTTGACGGCGACCGGAACCCCAAGACGGGCGAGGTGGGCGGCCCGAAGAACGAGCCGTTGCGGTGGGGCAGTTCGGGCGACTGGAGCTTCAACGGGCGGGTGACTGACTTTTAGGGGCAGTGATGGGGGTATGACATAGGTATTTGGGCTGAGATTATGATGGCTGTACGATAGGACTTGCATAGAATGGACGTCCATTTCACTTTAACGGCATACGATCAGGCGGGGATTAAAATACGGAGCTGTGACTTGAGACATTGTAACATTGTAGACGAAGAAGATACGTGTGTGGAGAGGGTGTGGTTATACGTAATAGAAGACAATTCAGGCAACAGGAACCTTCTCGCTTTTGGAATTAAACAACGGAACTGAATAGGAGTAACGCACGGAGGAGAAAACGAGAATACAAGAAACTAGTAAGACAAACTACACGCCATACGAACATTGCACACTGCAGAACCATCTCGTGCCCACGAGAAAATCGCCTTGAAAAACATGCAACGAACAAACAGCAAAATCGAATAAACATGCCGCTCAAAAGAGGATCGTCCCCGTGAATTCCAACGTCTTGAGGTAGAGGAACTTCTCCTAGTCGTCCATCCCAGCATCCGTCATTGTCGTGTCGGGGTCCTCGGCCGCGGCCGCAGAATCACCGGCTGCTGCGTCGGTGCCCGTCGCCGCTGTGCCGTCGTTGTCCGTAGCCGTCTTGGCAAGGGTTGCCTTGTCTGCCGACGTCCCATCCGACGGCTTGGCGTCGTCGCCCTTGGGTGCAGCCACCTCCGCAGTCGACACGGCATCCTTCTCGGCCGCGGCACGGTCCTTGTCGCCATTCGTCTCAGCAACCGCGGCTGCGGTCTCGCCGCGCTCGGTCGAGCCAGGGCGGTTCTCCTTGTCACCGTCGCCAGCCTCCGCCTTGCGCGGGGGAGGACGCCACCACTGGGCGTCAGCGGCACCGGCACCGGCACCGGCACCGACACCGGCGTGCGCATCGTCGCCCGTAGGCGCGCCGCCACCGAATCCAAAGCCCAGCTTGATGCCCTCGCTCTGCGACGCCGACAGATCCACCTCGCGCATCGCCTGCCGCATGCGCTCGCGCCGTGCTTTCCCGCGCAGGCGGTTCTGCGCGCCCGCACCGTTGACCACCCAGCGTATCTTGAGCACCTTGAAGCTCATGCCGTCGTGCGGCTGGTGCTGCGGCTCGTGCGGCGGGCCGCCCCACTCGCGGCTGCGGATGCCGAAGCGGGTGGTGGCGCCGTATTTGAGGAGGGCGGGCAGCACGAGGAGAGTCACGTGCAGGTCGCGGCCGGGTGGGATGTCCATGGGCCCGGTCTTGAGCGGCGCAGTCAGCAGATCGGGCAGGGGCTGGTTGCGCGCGTGCTCCAGGGCGGCGGCAGCGGCGGCGCGCTGTTTGCGGCTCGTCGTTTCTTTCTCTTTCGCTGTGCTGCCGCCGGAGCCGCCGGAGCCGCCGGAGCCGCCAGCCAGTGCGTCGGCCTGCTCTGCGAGGCCCAGCATGTCGACGTCGACATCGTCTGGCCACTCGCCGCGGATCCAGCCGCCGTGGATACAGGCGGCCACGACATCCGAGTCGTCGGTATAGATGTCGGTGCCCCAGAGGGCGCGACGGTGGGTGATTTCTTCACGGGCGGCGGACGCCAAGAAGAGCTTGTTGACCTTGACCGTCAAGATGCTGTTGGCCTTGTCCTTGATCATATCGAGGGGCAAGGGGCGGGGCGTGGTCGAGTACGGGTAGCGCGGCGGCCGGCCGGTGAGAGGATCGCACTTGCGTGCGGCCTTGAGCTTGGGCTCGTACAGGACGTCGCCGAGGTAGTTGCGCGGTTGGTCGGCTACACTATCGACGACCGCCTGCGAGAGAACGATCTGTTTCGGCTTGACCACGGCAGGTGCCGCCTGGATGGGCGCAAATGCACCATTGGGTGGATTGGTTGGGGACAAGTGCGGGGCGTGTTGCGGATATTGCGGCGGCGATGTCTGAAGGGGTTGCTGGAAGGCAGGTCGGGCCACGGCTTGAGGGATCTGGGCTGCGTTGTAGTCGCGAGAGGGGCCGGCCACGCTGGCAGGAAGAGGGACAGGCGTCGCACCCTTGCCATTCTTTAGGACGGACAAAGCGGTCGACGGAGAAATGGTCTGGTCAGGGTGATGGTGGTGGTGGTGGTGGGGGGTATGGTGACTAGAAAGAGGAAGGCACGGTTAGTGAACATAACCCAAGGTGGGAGAATGCAAGGCAACAAGACGAGGGCTTGACACGTACTGGTGATGGTGGTGGGCCGTTTTAGTGCGTTTGGTTTTGCCAGCGGGCGTGCCACGACCGCTGCCATCGTCCTCGACACCGGCAAGCTTGGCTGGGTCATCCTTTGCGACCTTGCGGCGCTTGCCCTTGGCCGGCTTGGTTGGCGCATCAGCCGCCGCGTCATGGGCTGCGCCGTCGGCACTGGTGGGACCGCCGTTGCCGTTAGAGAAGGGCAAGGTGGCGCCGGACGTGATGGGGCTGCTGAGGCCCATGCCGACGCCGTTTCCAATGCCAACGTACATGCGGCCAAACTCGCTCTTAATGGAGGGCTCGCCGGCAGGGCCGTGAATTTGTGATTGGGCGCCTTGGACCGCCCGCGGTAGGGGGGACACGCGACCGCGGCGGTTCATCTCCTGGATGGCCAGTAGGTTCCGCGGTGGGTGGTGTGCGGCCTCTTCTGCAGACCGTTGGCGAGGCGGGGCCGTGTCGTATCCAGGGGGAGGCGGAGGAGGAGGTGGGCCGCCATTCCCACCAGCACCACGAGCACTATACGCAACCGAAGGCGGCGGCGGCGCGTCGTCCATTGGGCGAGGCCGTGGTGGCACGGAGAAGCGCGGAGGACCTTGTTGCTGCTGTTGCTGTGGCAGCGGTTGCACAGGTCCCTGCTGGTGCTGGTGCTGCGGCGGAGGCGGCGCCTGCGGTCCTCCTTGCGGACCCGACGGGTGGCCGAGGCCTATGCGGTTTCGATCAGGCGACTCGTATGGCGACGGACCACCCGAGGGATGGTGTGAGGGAGGAAGGGTTGTCGGAGGGTAGCGGTCTTGGCCGGGTGCCGGCGGCCCGTGAGGAGGGTACTGCGATGGTGGAGGCGGCGGCGGCGGCGGTGGTGGCTGGTTGTGACCGGGACCGGCCGAGGCTGGGTACTCGCCTGATCGGCCATGCTCGTACGGCCGGCCTTGCTGATCGTACGGTGGTCGCCAGGAGGCTTGGCCGCTGCGCGGATCGCGCGGGTCACCACGGGGGTCGCCACGGGCATCACGGGCATCGCGAGCATCGCGAGCATCGCGGGGGTCGCGTAGGTCGCGCAGATCGCGTGGATCATGTGAGGGTTCGCGAGCATCTTGCGGACGGCCAAACTGAGGAAGGCCAGGGCCGCCTTGCTGCGGATGCCGCTGTGTGTTGTAGTCGGGGCCGAGCGCACCGGGGGGTGGGCGGAGTCCACCAGGATCCGACCCACCGGTATTGGCTCGGTCTCGCCGCTCACGGTCGCGAAACTCCATCTCCCGGGCCTGGCGTTCACGCTGCTCCCACTCCCGCTCTCTCTCGCGCTCCCGCTCCCGCTCGCGTTCGCGTTCTCTCTCGGACAAGTAGGGTAGTGTATGTTGCGGCGGGTGTGGTGGGTGCTGGTCTTCGTACTTGTACATGCGGCCGCGCTGGTCAGGGCTGTAGTCCGGCAGAGGTGGCCCGCGGTGTTCGTCACGGCGGGCGTACATGGCGTCGGCGTGCGGCAGAGGCGGACCCCCGTGTTGCTGCGGCTGCTGTTGCTGCTCGCCCGGAGGCGGCGGACCGCGCGGATAGGACTTGGGCTGGCTGTTGGGGCGCGGTATGCTGGCAGCCATCCGCGATTGCTGATCGCTGGGTGGCGGCGGGCCGCGCTGGGGATGCGCATACGACTGGGGGGTCCCGTAGCGCGGCAATTCGGGCGTGGTGACGTACATGCCGGCTTGCTGGGGTGAGGCGGCGATGGGGCCTCTCGTGTCTCGAGGATCGCGTCCGTCCCGCGAATCACGCGCGTCGTAGGACCGCTGGTGGTCCGGAGGCGTCTGCGGTCGGCGGTAGGGGCTGTAGTCGTTGGCAGCCGAGCGCATGCGTGGCGAGGCGTGAATGCTCGACGCGTAGGCAGAACCAGGTCCGCTTCCCGGGGGCCCTGCGGACGCGGGCTGTTGCGGCGGTGGCGGGCCATACGACGGTGGCCCTGACTGCTCACGCGCGTGGCCCATGGACGGGCCGCCCAGCATGGACGATATCGACATTGAGCTGCCCGAGCTGCCGGTGCGCGGCAGGGACGAGAGTGATGGCAGCTCGCGCACAGACGGAAACGCCGAGGAGGACGACCCGACGCGTGGCGGAGGCAGTGTATATGGCGAGTGATGGCCCGGCGGCGGTGGTGGCCCACCAGGACCCCCAGGACCGCCAGGACCACCAGGGCTACCGTTGTTGCTGCCGCTGCCCTGCAGCGGAGGGGGCGGCGAGGCAGAGTGTGGCGGCATCGCGCGACTTAGCGATGGGGCACTCGGGTTGCGGGCGTGGTTGGCGACGGAATGGGGAGGCGGGTTGTTGGAGCTGGGACTGGCCACGTCGGGCCCGGCCGGGTGCGATGGGTACGCGGAGCGCGACTGCGCGTAAAAGGAGGAGTCAGAGGGCCCTCGTCGATGGGCGCTGGGATGCGGTTGATGATGTTGTGAGTGCTGTGAATGTTGTGGATGTTGTGGATGAGGCGGTTGATGAGGATGCGGCTGGTGCTGGCCCTTGGGATCGCCGTACGCGGCGGACGACGGCGCTGATGGAGAGCGCGCGTCAGGCGGTGGGTATGCTGCGCGGCCGTAGTGTGGTGATGGGTTGTTTCGCGGCGGAAAGGGATGCTGGGAATGCGAGGATGAAGACGCTGTCGACAACGGTGGCGGTGGTGGCGCTGGAGGCGGTGGTTGTCGGGAGTCCATGGCGCCGCCTCGACGAACGGGGCAGCTGGAACGTGGGTTTGTTCCTCGCTATGTTTTAGTTTGTAGCCTCGAAAAACAACTAGGGCGATGATCGGGTGATCGGGTGCCGCAAAGCCCAGCTCCTTGGGCTGTGTTTTGGAGGCTGACGCTTGGTGTTTTGGGTCGTTTTCTTTTTTTCTTTTCTTTTTTTTTGGTGCTTGCAACTTTGTTCGGCCCTGAGTTTGCGTCTCACATTCGTCGAATGAGCGCGCACTCCACTCTTAACCGCGTTTTGTCGTAAGCAAGGGGCAGGCCGAGTCGATTACAGTGTACATTCGGAGTCGAAAAGGGGCAGAGCGGGCGCGCGCCTGTGTGTCGGCGGTGAAACAAGGAAGGCGCGACGCACGTCGTCGGGGAAGACGTAGTGTCGAGAGGAGCTGGCGAGGAAGTTGCGAGGGAGGAGGTGTCGATGTAAGAGGAAGGAGAAGGCGACCAGACAGTCAAGGGAATAGAAAGGAGGAAACAAAAAAGTAGGATGGGGAAGGAGCAACCGGTCGGACTAGCGAAAAAGCCTGGACGGCAAGAATGGAGAAAGCGGGAAGAGCACCAGATCAGATCAGGGCCACACTGTAGTTACTTGCCGACTTTTTTTGGAGAACCACCCGGGGAGGTCGTACTGCCTCGCAGCTGTTGACACGAGCTCCAGGGGCGCGGCTGGTGTCTGACGCAGGGCAGGGCACGTTGGAAAGGGAAAAGATGGGGAAAAGTCAAGGCCCGAAAAATTTGGACGGAGCACTGACCAACAGATGCACCTGCCGCTAATAGCGGTTAGTCGAAGTGGTGGCAAGGGAAAAATTGGAGCTAAAACAAAGCCACCAAAGGAAGGCGCGAACAAGCGTCACCAGACGCACAACCTCGAAAACGAAACATGGATCTCAGACAGAAACCGGGGAGCTTGAGAGCTAAATGGCGCAGCTCAGGAGAAGCACGGTCGCTGGGAACGGGTGAGCGAAGACGTGACGCTGTCGTAGAGGAAATATATGTACGAATTATTGGGCTTGAGCAATCTAATCTGAGATGAAGCGACCGCAAAGCATAGAGCCACGGTAGATGAGGCGATGACGGGGAAAGGGCAGGAGAGTGGCAGAAAAAGAAGGTTCGGCAAGGGCGAATGGTGGGCGAGCTGACGCAGGGGCCCGAGCTGGACGGCAAGGGAGCCAGGGCTGTTTGGTTGCTTTTGGTTTGGGGAACGGCAGAGCTGATTGACGACGAGGCGCAAACGACACAGGACAATAGTCACGACGAGATCGAATAATAGTCACAATGCGAGAGGGTATCAGCTCAGATGGAATAGGTTGGAATAGTGCAAGATGCACCCAGCAGTCAGCAGAGGACAGAGACGGACTAAAAAGCTCAGATGGCACTTGCCTGCCTCGCCGACCAACAAGAACTGACGGAGCTAGTAGATGAAGCAATCGCCTCCTTCCCCTTTCAGTTCTTTCTTTATGATAAGTACGACACATGCGGCGCAACAAGGTGAGGAGTAGGAGAAGGAGCGGATTGCGAGGAGGAGAAAAGAGGAGACGGAGGCACGAATGTGGAGAAACTCGATCGCCTGCAGAAGGCGCAACCGTGCGGAAGAGTATGTCGTACTTGCACCTATGCTTTTGCAGTAATACGTGCTTTCGGCCGCTTTTGTTATAGCGCTTTCCGCGAGCAGCAAACAGGAAACCAGACGCAGGCCAGGCGCGTTTGCATGCAACGCGTTCGTCGTACAATATCTAGACGGGCGATGCAGAGGCCTCGTCGTGATGGCACTGAGCGACATTGGGTCCCTGACGCACGTGCTTACTGGACAGACACGCTGGTCGCCGGTCGCGTGGAGAGAGGCAGTTGGAAATGTGGGCCTCCAAAGCTGAGTAGCTAAGAGCTGTGTTAGCATGTGTGAGACCTGTCTATGGGTAAGAGGGGCGCTAGGGCACGTCGATTAGCGAGGCCACTGGCCACAGGCAACGGCCCGCCGTGTTTCAGCGTCACAGAGCCTACTATTCGGTTATTGGTGCTCATGTTCGCTGCATAATTATTGGCCGGTCATGTTTGCTGGATTGATGTTCAGGTCACATAGGACAATATCACGGCCAAATACATCGACCATTGCTACCTCCGTGAAAGAAATCGCACCAGACGATCATGCCTCGTGAATCTGTCGCTCACTGTCGATTCGGTTGCACCGACAGCCTTACGCTGTATGGCCACGAGTCCAGCAACGGTGTCAATGTTGTACGGGGGCGTTTTACAGTATAGCAGTGATTCGGGATCGCTCTCCAAGACGTGTCCATCAGTTCGTCCTCTGCGTCGTCGAGTCAAGCCACAAGAAAGTTGCGGTCTGGATGTATCTTACATGCACAGGCGGTTTAGATGTGCCAACTAAAAAATCCATCCCCATTGTTGTGTATGTCTTATGCCGAATATCGCGCATATCCTCAAGTTTGATAGACGGAAGCTACCTGCCAACAAAAGCGGCCAATTCATTCCTGAATGACTGTCAATGCTCGTGAACAACATCGCTTTCGAGATGTGACTGCAGTCAGTTTACGGGCAGGGATGCTATCATGGTTTTCTCTCATCTCATGCCATTTGGCCGTCTGTTGTGTCTTGTCAGCATGTCGACATCGACAGGCAAAATCTGCCAGTGTCTTGTCACGCATTTTCGGCGACCAAATCCAGTAATGCCGACGGCGAAACCTCCCCGCTGACGTCCCCTAAAATCGGAGACTGAGTACCCACCAAGAAGCCCACGACAGGCCTGAATCATGGACAGGCCGGTTCGGAGCCGATAGCGTCTTCACCCAAAGCTTCTCGTCGTCTGCCAAGCCGATTCCTGTCCAAGCTACGAAGTATGTTGTCTTGTTTGTATTGTTGCAACTGCAACTGTCATCGGTGTGGGTTGGGCCGACTCTTGTTCTCTCTAAAAGAACACGATGACATGAACCCCCATAAGTGATTACATGTCAAGAACACATCTACCCAACGGTCGCGTGCAATGTGTGCGGCAAGGCTGGATCCGATTCGGCGGACATGTGTTGTTGTTCGCGGCAGCGCAATCGGTGCCTCGTCGGCTTGAGGCCGCTGTTGGGAGTTAGGAAAGAAAAATCGAAAAAAAACAAGTAAATAAATAAAAATCATTTCTACGATGTACTCGGTATCAACCGCTCTCATTTGCTTGCCCAGTGGCGGAGGACGGGGTATTGTCCTCCTTCAGAGACTGCTGACAGCGGTCATCGGTCATACGAGCCAGGCCAACCCCAGTCCCTGGGGCCTGCAACCACGCCTCAGAGGAATTGGCCGGACCCAGTCCGGCAATGACGGCATCGCATCCCCAGGCGCACGGGTGGCGGAAGCAACGACGCGGCAGCGCACAAGCGCTAGACCGACGGGGATCAGCAGGACCAGAAAAGCAACTCGTAGAATTTTTTTTTTTCTTGTTCTTTTCTTTTTTGTGACTCGCGTTCGATCCGCTCCCGCTCCATCCTGCGTCGTCTTGATCGTCGACTGGAAGAAGAGCTGCCGGCAGATATCCGTTCGGAGTTTCGCCGTGAGAAGACCTCGCCGCTGTTTTCTTTTCTTTTATTTGTTCGTTTCGCTCTTTAATTTTTACTTTTCAGTTGTGTTTGTTCGTTTCGACTCACTCAATCCATACCCCAGTCCGGGGTTTCACTATTATTCAACTCCTTTTCGATGCTTGGAATCTGACTTAGTCCTTCACTTTACTTCGAAGCTCGACAGGCCAGGCTGCCTTTACGGTCCACGGATCCGAATATCGACCACCATTGCAGTACTCTCTTGTTCATTGCGATACATGGACGCCAGCCGCACCCGGCTGCATACATACATATGGAACTGGCCGGATGCACACCGTTGCATCACGACATCCACAAGTTTACTGGCATAGTTTACTGTATTTTCTGAACAAGCATACCTCCTCCCACCATGGCCATCGGCGTTGCCAAGATGACGCGGCAGCAGTCCGCCGCGGAAAAGGCATTGTACGACCAAACCGACCTGCTGCCGAAAAAGAAGCTCGTCATTGTCTTTGCGACCCTCGCCCTGACGCTGCTGATCACGTTTATCGACCAGAACGGCATCAGTGTCACCCTCCCGACCATTGCCCGCGACCTCGACGCCCAAAACACCATTTCTTGGGCCGGCACTGCGTCTCTGATCGCCAACACCACCTTCCAGATGCTCTACGGCCGCCTGTCCGACATTTTTGGCCGCAAGCGCGTGTACCTGGCCGCCGTCGGCTGCCTGGCACTCGCCGACTTGCTGTGCGGCCTCTCGCGCAACGGACCCATGCTGTATGTGTTTCGGGGCGTGGCCGGCATTGGCGGCGGCGGCGTGACGAACCTCAGCATGATTATCGTGTCGGACGTTGTGTCCCTCGAGCAGCGCGGCTTCTACCAGGGCATCATTGGTGCGTGTGTCGGCCTCGGCAACTTGGCGGGTCCGTTCTTGGCGGCCGGCCTCACGGCCCGGACGACGTGGCGCGCCTTTTTTTACCTGCTGGCACCACTGGGCGTGGTCGTCGGGTGCGTGGCGGCGTACATGCTGCCGTCCAACCCGCCCCAGGGCGGCCTGCGCGAGAACGCGCGCAAGATTGACTACTGGGGCCTGTTGTCGGCGTCGGCGGCCGTGATCCTCGTGCTGATCCCCGTGAGCGGCGGCGGTTCGTACTTCCGGTGGGACTCGCCCATGGTGATTAGCATGCTGGTGATTGGGGCGCTGCTGTTTGTGTTTTTTATTGTCGTGGAGCTGCGCATCGCTCAGCTGCCCATGATGCCAAGTATGGTCCCAGACGATGCCCATTACAAAAGCCGACGCTGACGCTAACTTTATTAGTGCAAATCTTCAAGAGCCATGTCATCACGGTGCTCATGGTCCAGAGCTTTCTGCTGGGTGCCGTGTACCAGATCTCGCTCTACTACTTGCCGCTGTTTCTCCAAAACGCACGGGGCTACACCATTATCGAATCGGCCGCGTTCGTGTCCGCCATGGTCCTGGTGCAGTCGTCGTGCTCCATCCTGTCGGGCCAGTACCTGTCGCGCATCAAACGCTACGGCGAAGTCATCTGGTGCGGCTTTGCTTGCTGGACGCTGTACGTGACCCTAGCCGTCCCAACCCCTTCTCACCGTCCAATGCCAACGTTCTCTTGCTGCCCATACTAACGTTGCCTGCAGCGGCGCCGGCCTCATGCTCCTCAACACACGCACCACCAGTGTTGCCGCCATCGTCGTGCCGCTCATGCTGGTGGGCGCCGGCCTCGGCATGACCCTCCAGCCCACGCTCGTCGCCCTCCAGGCCCACACCACCAAGGCCCGCCGCGCCGTCATCATCTCGGTGCGCAACTTTTTTCGCGCCACCGGCGGCGCCGTCGGTCTGGCCGTGGCGGCGGCCGTCCTGCAGGCGGCCCTGCGGGCGCACCTGCCCGTCGAGTACGCCTATCTGGCCAACAACGCCTTTTACCTGCCCACCAGCTTCGCGAGCACCGCCGCGCGGGAGGCGGTCCTGGACGCCTACATGGCCGCCAGCCATGCCGTCTTCCTGCTGCAGGTGCCCCTCATCGGCCTCTGTTTGCTGGTGTGCATCTTTGTCAAAGACAAAGGTCTGGAGCCCACGGACGTGCGCGAGGCCAAGAAGAAGGCGGCGCAAGAGGGTGCGACGGGGAGCGACGCCCACGGTGGAGTGGTCCCGGTGCCGGTCGCGACAAGAGACGGCAGTGCCAGTGCCGATCTCGAAGCCAACGAGGCCGACTCGGACGAGACGCCACCGTCCGGCGAAGACAGCGATCGGGCTGCTGGCCACGATCGGCCGGGCAGCGAGAAGAGAAGCCTGCACGACGGGTCTGTACAACAATCAGTATCCAAGGGCGAAACGTCGTGAGGCTGTTTCGTCTCCCTCTCCCACGTTTTCTGCTGTTTCACTTCATTCAAAAAGCAAAAAGCATATAGCATGACAAGCGTATTACATGCACAGCGTAACCATGTAGAGCGTCATAATAAGATACAATTGTTTTTTTTTTGTCGTAACAGGAAATGCCGACAGAGGAGAGATACAGAAAAAATGCCGAAACCAAAGGGGAGAGAAGAGATACATGTACATGAGATTGTCCGCAGGAGTGTCGCAAAGCGGATGCCGCGGTGGCTGTCTGTCCAGGGACCTCGGCGGTCTTACAGCTGGATCCGGCCCCGCGAAAAGACGAGCGACAACCACCCCAGAATCAGGCACAGCCCGCCCACCGGCGTCACGGGCCCCAGAGCCTTGAACCGCTCCGGGTCGAGCACCAGCGCGTAGATGCTGCCGCTGAACAGGGTCATGCCCGTCGCGAAAAGTGACGAGGCCACCGGGTGGCCCCGCGCCGCCAGCATCGCCACAGAGTGCGCCAGCTGGTAGTGCGCCGCCGTCGACCACGTCGCCAGCTTGGCCGGGTCGCTGACGCGGTTCTTGAGCCCGTGCGCGCCAAACGCGCCAAGGGCGACGGCCGTGGCGCCGTACAGGGCGCCAACACGCCAGAAGAACATGCTGGCCATGGCGAGGTGGCGGAGGTGCTGCTGCTGTTGGCGCTGTTGGCGCTGTGGAAGACGCGAGGGACCGCCGGGCGCAGGTTCGGAGTGCACAGAGATGAGGAGCGGCGTTTCTTCGTCCCTGGTGTTGATGTTGTGAACGACGACGGACATTGAGGGTGCGGGGTTTGTTGGACGTTGTACGGCTTTTTCTTTCTTTCTTTCTTTCTTTTCGACGGACGAATTCGTCAAAGGACAATATCATGAATAGCTCAAAGGTCTGTTTCGGAAGCTCGATCCGCCCCGCTTGTTGTCCACTTTCGACGCTAAACAGCCGATTTGTGTCGGTTTCCGAACTCGCTTTGCTGCATATTGGTTTAAGGCGAGGTTGAACGGCGAACGTCAAAATCACGACGACGGTTTTCGTGCTTATCGTTGTTCTCTTTTTAGAGTGTTGCGACCAACATAGACAGCATACCTTCATAACTGCTGAGTCGTACAGCCGGCTTCCGTCATAAGCACGCTTCCTGCACGTAATTTGCGCAGCCATGTCGACCAGCCCTAGCTTCGCCTGCTTCAGCAGGCAAGGCGAGAAACTATGCACAGTGTCGTGGCACACATATCTGGTTCAACTGTGCAGACTTTGTGACAGAATGGGACTCGTCGACATCGTTTGCAGGTCTTCATGCTCATCGAGGTTTGTCGCGCTTTACAATTAGTACAGGCCATATCCGTGCTGTCTACCGCGATTCTCTTGTAAGAGTACAACTTAACGAAGCAATCCCTGTAACCCACTATCTTTCGTTGGCATATGTCGCGACAGATGCAACAGAAATGCTCAGTAAAGAGAAATCGGCAACAAGCAGAAGGAGATGCACGTAACGAACAGCCAAGGCGTCCATGACAAGCAGCATGTCAGGCACCCGCAGAACGGTTTACACCGTCTTTTGTTTGTGACGGCTACGGGGGCTATGCAACGATATGCTGCCAATATTCGCTCTCCGATGTGAGACGGTGATGGCTGATACGATACGGAGATTCTGCAGTCGACAGGCTGTGAAACTATGCAATCTGCAACCATACGACATACAGACGGCAAAGCCTGCTATCTGCACAACGTCTGTCGTCAACTGCAGACAAGTCATCAGGAGGCTGCTTTCCTCTTTCAGGCACATTTTCTCGCTCGCACATCATTACGTAGTGCTGTCGCCCGCTGCAGTTAGATTTCGGCATTGTCGTCATGTCGGCTCGGGGAACCAGGTGAGGTCATCCCGACGACGATCGCCGATGGGTTTATCTGGTCCTGTTGGTCAGTGCGTCTAGGTGACAATACGAAGAGCCCAGGGCGCGCGGTCGATGAGGAAATGACCGAAATAAATGAAATGAGGCACGAAAGCATATATGCACAGTTTGGGCAGCGATCTTCAGTGCGTATTTGGGCACCAACAACGCTAACCTGGCCAGCGGATCTAGCCTCGAATAGTGTAAGTAGCCGCGACGGGCAGCGCCGGTTGGGCATGGTTGGGGGTGCTATTCGCGTGGTGGGTGCACACAGCAGGCAAAGAGGCAAAGAGTGACCTGGATACACGGCCCTCTCGGTCGTGTCGGTCCCCCTGATATGCAGGCCTAGAGGCGGAGAATGCAGCCCGTGGCAGGTACTCATGTGTTATGTTTGGGGGGGCTTTAAAAAAAAATAAGAGAAAAAAAATAAAGATAAAGAAAGCGAGGTAAAAGCGCGGAAAAGAGCCACACATCACCGCCAGCCAGTGAAGCCGGATGGGGCGGACAGCAGTCTCTGCTGCTCCTTCTGTCAGTGGACAAGCCGCCAAGTGTCGCCCTACTTTCGCTGGCACAGTCTGGGCCAACCATTTCCAAATCCCCACTTTCCCCTCGCAACACTGCCGCTCCTGTTCCCTGACGGGCCTCACAGTCCTGTCTGGCTCCTTCCTGTCTTCTGCACTTGTCTCGCCGCCTCAAAATCTTGATTGGCTCTAATTTGATGCGGGACAGCTGCAACGCCCGTTGGCTCTTTCCCTGGCAAACCTGGGACAGCTCGAACTGAAAAATCAAAAGACGGACCCACTGTGTCGGCTGACTTGGTGTTGTCCAGCCCCAGACAGAATTGGCCTAGCCCTCACGGACTGGTTCAACGCTAGGAACCTTTAGCAGAGCGGCCCGCCCTAGTCCACCCATATTTCCTTCAACAGCCGTTGAGAGTCGAGACGTCCTTCCAAAGAGTCAACCAGTCGCGACTTCCTGACTTGATGTTCAGCCTCCCTACATCAAGGGCAAGAACGATAGACAAAGTCAGCCTGGCGGCTTGCTCTATCTTGAAGAGGAAATATTTGTTGGTTGATTTGATTTGATTTGTTTTGTTGGGGACTTTTCCCCCAAAAGATCGCTCGTAATGACCAAACGTCGAAACGCATTCTCTCATAATGACTTTCGGCATCGCAGAGACACACATCTTGTCCGCAACTCTTCCCTCTCATTTCATCACACCTCGACACCCACTGTGGGGACCAACACCGACAGCGTGTCTCGGATTTGGCCATCTCATTCAGAGCCATCATCAGCTCTGTTGCCTGGCTGATTGTCTCCTTTTCAGGTCTGTGATAGCCGGCCTGGACAACTCCATGCCGCACACTCTGCAGGACAATACAAAGCCCAGTCGCGGCTCACTGCCCCCCATTCTTTGACGGCTCACTGCCGATCATTGCCTCCCATCCCCAAACCGGACAAAGTGCGAAGCGAACCGAGGAAGCTTTGAATTCAAAGGGGGAAAAAAAGGAAACACAAAAAGAAGAAATCACCGCCTGGAACGGGGTCTCGGCGCCGCAATTTGTGCCTGGATGCGGGTTGGGGAGGTTTCTTGAGTGCCACAGTGTGCATACTATCCTCCTTCGACATACGACGCTGTGGCCCGCCTTGCGTCCAATAAGTTTGACATACAGAATAGTGACTCCGTTCAACATACGTGAGCCTGAAAGCGAGAATGCTTCCGCAAGCCGCGGTGCATGATCCTTCGACTGACTGTAAGACACCAGCTGTGTTGTGCTCGCACCGCTGACCGATTTGCGAACAGAATTGCCAACCCCCTTGCCGCTGTTGAGTCTCTTTTTTGATACTGCATGGCAGCTTTACGCCGCATAAACACCAACAGCCCATGTATGAGATATGTAGTATGTTAGAGAGCAGCAGTCCTAGAACGAAACACACCAACAAGACAGAGAACAGAGTGTGCCCTGTACAAGCCTTTCATTGCGGCATTACTTTTGCACCACGAAAAATGATGCGACCTAAAAGACCTCAGAGACATGACTGACCAGCAACAATCTGCTCCAGAAGAGCACGAAGAGTCTACATCATAAACCGCCCTCTTGGTGGAGACGCCTTCTTGACATCGTCGAATGAGATGCGAGCCAAGGCGACATACCTCTTTTTCCTTCGGCCTCCATCCCCTTGTCGTCGGGCAAACAGCTGGAGGCAGAAAAGGCACCGCCCAGTGCATACGGGTGATGACATGCTACAACCTACACACCTTCAGCACCTGGACCACCTCACATCCTCACACCCACCCTTACACGACCTGATGTGTCCTGCAACTGGCAATATTGTGACCCCTGCAACCCTCAAATCGGGGATGCGAATCCACACACCGGTTTGACTAGCGGCCTTCCTTTGCATTTCCCAATTAAAGGATGAAAATATATTTCTTTTTCCACTGCGGACAGGAGCAACTTTCTGGTCATCCACAAAACGCCAGACCGGACAAAGGCACCATGCGGCTCAGCCAAACGAAGTCCCATTATGTCTGCCCGCTCATGCTTGCACATCGTGTCTGTCACTTCACAACTCGCATGCCACGCAGGCACACATATTTACGACATACAACCACGACTAGTTTCTTCTTCTCCGCTATTCCTCCTCTTCCCCCCAAATGTTTCCTTCTCGCTGTCCTCTCCGCTTCTGCTACTTTTTCTTTGATCACTGATCTCCTTTACATCTTCCCCCCACATATGCACACACACAAGCGTATGATACTCACCTTCTCCTTCTACTTGTGCTTTTCTGCGTGTCTGTAAACCTCGTCGATTCCGATTATTTATTTGGTCTCTGCCCCGTCTTTTTTCTGAGCTGCTCAAATGTGTCACCGCATCCACATAAACAACCCTGCCCAAATCCAACGACTACTTGTCCGATCGATCCTTTTTCTTCTTTAGACTCTGTCCTGCCGGCTTTGTCGCCTCGTTCCATCCTCTCGTTTTCATTCCCAACTCCGCTCTCGCCTTAACATCCCCATTAAGAACTGCCTCGTTATTTCTCGCCTCATTCATCCTCAATACACCACCCACGCGCAGAACAGCACCTTATTCTGTCCGTCTTCATTCCTCATCACTGCCATATCATGGCCAGCCGGAATAGTAATCAAACTTTCCATGGACTCACGGCTGGCGTTCCGACAACTACCCTGACTGAGGTATGACGCACGATCTCTTGCTGTTCTGCCATGGACCTGTCTGACAGAACATAGGACTTTTCTTATGACGGCGCGGTAGCTCAACCGCCGCCGTTAAAGCGGTCAAAAACGTCTCGGCCTGTTCACCACTTGCAGTCGCCTACCTCTGTCGACATGGCCCCCTCTTTGAGCTCGCCCTATTCCGTCGTACCAAGTATGGGTTCGCAGCCCCATGCCTTGGCTCGGAGACACTTCTCGCAGCCTCATATACTGTCCTACATGTCAAGTCCAAGAGGCACCCATGACCTCGCAGATATGGGCTTCGACGGTATCGGCATGGAGCCAGCACACTACCTGCGCACCAGAGGCATCTATGAAGACCCAGGGCAGATCCCCGTCTCGACCAGCGAGAAAATGCAATCTGTCCCAGCCGGGCATCTTCAAACGGATTTTAGCACCATGAACAACGCCACAGCTCTGCACTCTCTCCCGTCCAGTTGCGGGTCTCTCACGGAAGACACGACCTTTGACACGGCCTTGAGCGGGCACCACAGCGACCGCTACAGTGACAACATGTCGGCTCCTCTTCAAATGGCGCACGCTGACTCCCAAGGCTCATTCCTGGACCCATTTGGCTACGCCGCCGGATCGTCGCTTGCCATGAGCTACAGCAAGAGTGTGGGAACGGAGGGCTCTCTGGCCAATTCATACTGTG